TGCTCTTGATCTTATGATGTTGGGAACTTCGTATGTTTGGGTTTTCATTATCATCTGTAAAATGAGATGCTGGGCAAACTGTCTTTTTGGGCTGAAACTTGTGGTTCTGAGAAGCCAAGTTGGCCGTATTCCATGGCATCCCTAAGATGCCATTTATTGTAAAAAGTACCATTGTAGTACTAAATAAAATACTGCCAGTTAAAATAAGACACTACTTAAGACTCTATTAAGAGATGTCAGAATGTATAAATGTGCATTATATTGGCGAAACTAGATTATACTAATTGTTGACTGCCATGTGGCATTTTACAAGTGTTTTTTCTTAAGGCCCTCATTTTAGAAAAAGCACTGAGATGACAAATTACTACAGCAAAGTTTTGGGGCATTTCAAGTATTAGTAAATCCTTTGCTTATAATTTTTGATAATTAAAAAATTTCAGCTACTTCGATAAAAATCTTTCAGGGCTTTAAAAAAAATTCAACAGCTTCTTTTAGGGTACAAGTGGTTTTTGGTTACAGGGATGAATTATATAGTGGTGAATTCTGAGATTTTAGTAGGGCTAATAATTTTTGAGGAGAGGAAGAAAAAACATCTTTTTCTGAGAAACAAGAGATAGCTAATCAGCATCTGTGCCGTAAATCTGCTGCTGGCAAATACTAGTGTTCCGTCTAGAAGACTGTATTTAACCATTAAAATTATACTTGTTTTACTGTGGTTTTTTCTGTTTTCCTAATATGGGTTGAGTGATAGATTTGTTGGATTATTAACTTTATTTACTGAAAATTGATGAGTTCTTTGTGGCACTTCTGAAATATTTTTTCCCTAAATGTAGACCTACAGATAGAAATGAAGGAAGGAAATGCTGATTTAAAGATACTTAATAATTATTTGATAAAATATTTATATGTATTGTTTTATCCCAATATAGGGAACCATGACAAAATTTCTGTTTCTAATAATTTTTTTTTACCTTGAAACTCAAAGTTTAAACTGTAACAGCAGGTTACTAAATTAAGTGTACATCCGATGAGAAAAGACTAGTCTTTTGCCGTTACACGTATATTGTTAAAACTAAGGCATTCTTGTATATAAGTCCTTATATATAAACATAGTTCATGAAAATTGTTTGCATTTAATGACAAGAAATCAGGCCCAATAATACTGGGAATTTTGGCAAGGAAGATGAATAAATAACCTTCATAACAAAAGCACATGCAAAAAGTGTGGTGATTATGCTAATTTTTCTTCCTGACTGGAAATAATTATAATGGAACTTTAGAGATAGAAGACCAAGGTCTACTTTGCTAATATTTTTTCACATTTGAAAGATCTCAAACAAAGGAAAATCTTAAGTGCAGTTCACTCCTTCATATGAAAACATGAAGATTTTTGTTATTTGGGTTTTTTTTTTTTTTTTTCCAATCAAATTTGGATAGAAAATAGAGTATTCATGGAGGATCAACTTTTTGTATTTGCAGGTTTCACAGGGCCTACTGTGGGATTTTGTGAATATTTGTATACGTAGCGGTCTTGGAATCAGTCCCTTGCTTATATTGAGGGATGACTGTATTTATGTGTGAATGATGTGACTAAATTGCTTTACCTATCATTGAATACAGATAACTGAAAGTAAATATTCTACACCTAAATGTAATTCCAGAGGTCAGGCGTGGTGGCTCATGCCTGTAATCCCAGCACTTTGGGAGGCTGAGGCAGGTGGATCACCTGAGGTCAGGAATTTGAGACCAGCCTGGTCAGCACAGTGACACCCCCCACACCCCCCATACCTAGTACTAAAAACACAAAAATTAGCTGGGCATGGTGGCAGACACCCGTAATCCCAGCTATTCAGGAGGTTGAGGCAGGAGAATCACTTGAACCCAGGAAACAGAGGTTGCAGTGAGCTGATATAGCGCCATTGCACTCTGCCTGGGTAACAGAGCCAGACTCCATCTCAAAATAAAATAAGATAAATGTAATTCCAGCTCTTAGTTTTCTTTATTACAGCTCTGTAAGGTATTTGATTAAATGCATTTTAGATTTAGACTTTTTAGCTTGTTAATATTTCAGATTCATTCAACTGTTTTTCATTTGTGTTAATGCATATTAGACAATTTTATGGTAAGCGTTTCTCAATCTTTGTGTTATAAGTCCCATAAACAATGGAATTTTTTCTCCTGTTTCATATTTAAGTCAAAGAAATACGCCAGTTAAGTATTCCTTTGAATGTGTTTACATGTGTACGTTTCTGACAGCATGTTAATTTGAGGATGCACAGTAGAAAGCAGATTTCAGACATGGTGAAAATATTGGAATGGCTTCATGGCCAAAAGGGAACTTGGTTGGGTAGATAACCTGTTACAGTACCTTTTTTGTTTAAGAAAATGCACTTACACAAATCTAGTTTTATTTTTAAATAAAGCTTGGGGAAAGAACTGTTATGACAGTTCTAACGACTTTAGGGTAGCAAAGATTATGAGGAAAAATAATTTTCAGAGAAAAAACTTTCTAATAGTTTCATAGGATCAAAAATCATTTTTTTTCCTATTTCTTATTGAAAGTGATAGAGAAGTTCTGATATTGAAAGTGATAGAGAAGTTCTGATAGGAGTTCTTCAGTTTTTCAGGAGAATTTGTGGCATATGCATTTATAAAGCATATGTAATAAACATTATAAAATAAGCCCATTATATCCCACAATTAATAGGACATAACAGTTTCTTTGAGGGTTGGGTTTTTGTTTGTTTGTTTTGTTTTGTTTTAAGACATGGTCTTGCTCTGTCCCCAGGCTGCTTAGTATTGGTGATCATAGCTCACTGCAGCCTCAAACCCCAGAGCTCAAGTGATCCTCCTGTGATGGGCTTCCAAGGTGCTGGGGTTACAGGCATGAGCCACTACGCCCAGCCTTGTTGAGAGTTGTAAACGGCCACTTTTTCTTTACTTATACTTTATAAAAACCTTGGATATACTAGTAAGAGGATTTTGATTGTTGCTGGACCCTAAGCATCTGCCAGTCAGAAGAAAGTGTCTCATCTATGATGAGATGATTTTGAGATGTCTTACGGTCTTCTGTTCCTAAAGGATGGGATAACTTGGGTAGACGAACAGTAGCTTGGATTAGGCTGCTAAGCTAATGAATTTTCCTTTTTTCCTTTCTCTGTTTTTTTACTTTTTATTTGAATGTAGTGCTAAGAATATTGTGTCTTGAATTCAGGAAAGAATAAAAGTAACACTAGTAAGGTAGAAAAGGATTAAACACTGAGAAGGTGAAAAAACCAGGTAAACAGGTTTTTAAAACCAACCTTGGTGATGGAAATTTACTGGCTTTACACAAAAAAAAAATACTGCAGCGGCTAATAACAACCCTTCCATTGTTGAATCAGAGACCTTAGGATGCACTCTGCATGGATAAGCTTGAAATATGAAAATTTTCTTTCCAAAAGGACTGTTGCTGTTACACTGATGATATAATGGCTATTAGTCTTAATAGAGTAGGGTGAGCCAGAATATCCCTGTATAGAATAGGTATATACTTGAATATACTTTTGTAAACTGCCTTATAGTACAGTATGAACAAAAGGGCATAACTTTGGAACCAGATAGATGGGCTTTGAATCCCAACTCCATCCCTTCATGCGCTTGGACAAGCCTCAACCTTTCTAAGACTTGGTTTCCTTACCTAACTTGCCTTGAGGTGAAGTTTAAATATAAAATTTTCTAGCCTAGTGCCTGATTATCAGTAGGCATTTCTACCAATGCTGTTTCCTGTAGAGAACTAAGTAATAATATAAGGGTTTTAGAAGGATTCCTTGGTTAATATCTATCATATATTTGTATAGAGAGTTAACGGTAAAATGTTTTAAAAGTAAAACATTTGGAGTCTTCATTACTAATAGAGAAAAAAGGAAAGTTTTTATTTACAGGTAACATGATTATTATGCTTGTCAGGCAAAAATGTGAGAACTAGTAAGAGTGCAGCAAATTTTGGGGTCTAAGGTCAAGCAAGGGCTAGATTACATGGTGGCTCACACCTGTAATCCCAGCACTTCAGGAGGCCAAGGTGGACGGATCACCTGAGGTTGGGAGTTCAAGACCAGCCTGCCAACATGGAGAAACCCCATGTCTACTAAAAATACAAAATTAGCCAGGAGTAGTGGCACATGCCTTAATCCCAGCTACTCGGGAGGCTGAGGCAGGAGAATCACTTGAACCCAGGAGGTGAAAGTTGTGGTAAGCAAAGGTCACACCATTGCATTCCAGCTTGGGCAACAAGAGTGAGACTCTGTCTCAGAAGATCAGGCAAAATCAATAGCATTCTTATTTCATCAATATTGAATTAGATTATAAATGCTGTTTATGTATAGCCACCAAACCTATTAATTAAGCAGGATAAAACAAATGAGATACTCAAAAAACACTTTGAGAAGAAAATACAGTAGGATAAAAAAGTCATAAAAGATGACAAAGATGGACTGTGTTCATGAGTGAAAAACCAGTGCCATCAAATTATCTCTTAATTAATCTACATATTTAGTATTACTTCAGTAAAAACCTCATAGGATTTTTGGGATAACTTGATAAAAGGATTTTAATGTGTATAGTAAAAAAGTGTGTTCAGTTAAAAATTGTCATGAAAGTCTTGCAGAAATGATAAGGACTTGTAATATCAGATATTAAAACATTACTCATAGAAAAATGTAGTATTGGTACAGGGATAGGCAGTTGGTACAGGGATAGATCATTGAATTAAAATAGAGATTCCGGCTGGGTGCAGTGGCTCACGCCTGTAATCCTAGCACTTTGTGAGACCAAGGCAGGTGGATCATGATGTCAGGAGTTCAAGACCAGCCTGGCAAAGATGGGGAAACCCCATCTCTACTAAAAATACAAAAAAAAAAAAAAATTAGCTGAGTGTGGTGGTGGGCGTCTATAATCCCAGCTACTTGGGAGGCTGAGGCAGGGAATTGCTTGAACCTGGGAGGCAGAGGTTGCAGTGAGTCGAGATTGTGCCGTTATAAACTCCAGCCTGGGCAACAGAGCAAAATTCTGTCTCAAAAAAAATAATAAAATAGAGATCCCAGAGACAGATATGCTTATATAGGCAGTTGGATTCGAATATATATCTAATATATGTCTGTTTAAATAGATGTAGTTGTTAAAAAAAAATCAAGTACATTATTACTCAGACATATCAGGTTAATGAGAAGACCATTCAGGCTTATAAATGTTGTAATTGATGAAGTATTTTAGAATTATTTGGATGCATCGTTAGTCTACTTACTAAAGGTGTGGGGGAGTACACCTGTGCTTGTCCATTAATTGTCCATGACACCATTCTGTCAGAATACAGGATTAGAGTAATTATTCTGAGTGTATTATTTCTTCTTATTTCATAAAAGCCATGTGCTGTACAGCATTTAATTCATACTTACAGAGATAAAGTGAATGAACTAAACGCTGCGCTTTTTTGTTTTATTTGAGTATTAGTCTTGTATATACTTTATATTAAAATGCATTCGTAGGGAGTAATTAATATTTTGTGAGCATCTACAGTATGCATAGTACCTGCTCTCGGGGTGTACATTTCTGAGGGCAGAGACAAATGCACCTACAAATAACTATGCCATTATAATAAAGTTTTAATGAAATACTAAAATGGGAAATTGGAGGATTTTGACTATGGAGTTTGGGGTAGACTTTGTGTTCTTTCATTCTGAAAACTGAGGGAAGGTCATTTTAGACAAAGGAAAAGTATTGAGCCAAGACAGAAATATCTGGATTGCATGATTGTTACGGAGACTGAGTTGGCTCTGAAGTCAGACTGCTTGAGCTGAATCTGGTTCCTCCTATTACCTGCCATGTGATCTGGGGCAAACAGTTCTTGTTAATTTTTTAATCTACAAATTTAAGATAATATTTTCTTTGCCTTACAGGAAAACTGCACATATAAGAGGATAGTTTAATGAAATGTAATAAACTGAGTATACCTGTGTAACTTGCATGCAAATTATAAACAAAACAAGATTATCGGCATCCCAAGAGGTTTTTACATTCTCGATTGTATTGTTTTGAGGATTCGGTATTATTTGTAAAGTGGACCTGGCAATGGCTAACACCTGTAACCCTAGCACTTTGGTAGGCCTAGGTGGGAGGATTGTTTAATCCCAGGAGTTTGAGACCAGCATGAACAGCAAAGTGAGACTCTGTCTCTATTATTAATAAAATAAAGAAGAAGAAAAAACATTATTTGTGAAGTGTTCAGAACAGTATCTGGCATATATTATATCCCTATCAGTGTTAGCCATTATTCAGTAGATGGCTGGTGAATATGGATGAAACCAGAGAAGGTACACTCCCTGGCATATATCAAGCATTCAGTAGACATGTTTTGAATTATTTAAAGAAAAATAAAGAATACAACCATGGTTACCAAAAAGGTAGGGCCAGGGAAAAAAAGAAATACTGGGAGGACAGAGAGCCAGGGGTCATGAAAACCAAAAGATGATAGCAAGGTTGTCAGTTTTACAGAGGCTAGATTAGGGATTTAGTACAGTTATCAAATTATCGGTATAATTTTAATGACTAGCCTATATAGGAAAACTAGAATTTGATCACTTGGAGCTACAGAAAGATTAGCATAAAATTTTGCTTAAAATAAGTTTGTAGTCTAGTGGTCATATAGATACTTAAGAGTTCTAGAGGTCACATGGGCTTAAATTATTGGGAAGCACTGTGTGAAATCAAATGAAAATAATTTTTTTGAATTTATATTTTATTTCTGGGAAAAGCTATAGTATAAAATAAACTATTAGCATGGTAGTAAGCACTAAATGGGCAAGGCATGTCTTTGACAATAGATTTGAAGAAATACGCTTTTTTCAATGGGGAAAACAATAAAAATGCTGTTTAAACAATAACCATGTAGATGAAAGCAAAGAGTGCTGTGATCTATGAAAATGGCTTCATAGCTTCTCTTCCTCAATCCTGCCCCTTAGCAAACCATTTTATACTGTAAGCGCAATGGTCTCTGTGAAATGTAAATTTAATGATAACATTCTTCTGTTTAAGTTACTATCAGAATATCTGGTTCTCCTAGCTTTATATTTAGAAGTCTGTAATGCTTCACCCACATTTATGAAATTCACACACTTCCAAAAATATTTGGAGTAAGCTTGTAAAAGCTTGACAGTAAAAACTGAATTGACAGAAGGTTAGTTTTTTTTCCCATCTCACTCAGTGTGAATATTCATACCTTTCCTTGAAGAAAATGTTAATACATTTGAGAAATGATGAAGGATTTGTTTTTCTTGAATATAGAAAGTTACAGAGGTTGGGCATGATAGTTCATGCCTGTAATCCCAGCATTTTGCAAGGCTGACGTAGGTGGATTGCTTGAGCCCAGGAATTCAAGACCTGCTAGACCGCAAGTAATCTACCCACCTCTGCAAAAATTAGCCTGTAATCATAGTATATGCCTGTGGTCCCAGCTACTTGAGAGGCTGAGGTAGGAGGATCACCAGAGCCTGGGATGGTCAAGGCTGCATTGAGCCTTGATTCAGCCACTACATTTCAGCCTGGGTGACAGAGTGAAACCCGGTCTTTAAAAAAGAAAGTTATAGAGCAGTTAGTTTTAATTAATTTATGGTATCCATCAGGGTTTATTGTACCCAATAGTTAGTGAGTTTTTTTGAGTAGTTCTGGTTATAAGGATTGACATACCATGAATTTTATTCTTTCTTAGAGGCCTTCCAAACAAAACATTTCCTTTATTTTTCAAAATGGAATAAAATTCATCCTATTTTGCAAGATTTACATCATGGGATCTTAAACATTTTGCTGTTTTATCATTCTAGGAATTATTTCCTCTTATCACATATTCCCAGCTGTGTTAAGGACTAATATAATTGGAAAATGGAAGAATGTTGGAATCACCTAGAAGGGTGGTACGGTAGGGAAATAACTGGTTGATATTGCATTACCCAAGTATTGCATCTTCATTCAAGAAGCTAGAAAAGAAAGAGACACTAACTTCATAGTTGGCTTCAACACAGTTGAGAATTCAGAATTGTTCTTTCTCTGCCCATACCAGCAAAGGAGAATAAAGTTGACACAAGAAAATGTTTCCCAATTATCAGATATATCAGAAGGTGAATGCAAAAAGCACCCCTCTAGACTGATGATAATATTGAAATTGTAAAAGCAAAAATCTCAGGCTACAAGTCTTAGTTGATAATGTCATCCTACATGAATTTTTCAAAGTCAATAATCAGTACATAAACAATATATTTCTAAGGATTAAAAAGGAAATAATGGCATTCTCATTCAGTTAGTCATTCACTAGAAAGGACTTCATTATGTAATATTCTGTGACAAGAACCAGAATATCATATTTTGCTAAGCAGATACGTGGCAGAATTCTTTCATCTTTTGTTGTTGTTGTTTTGAGACAAGGGTCTCAAACTCCAGTCCACGCTGGAATGCAGTGGCACAATCTTGGCTCACTGCAAACCTCCGCCTTCCAGGCTCAAGTGATCCTCCTCAGCCCCCTGAGTAGGTAGGACTACAGGCATGTGCCACCATGCCCAGCTTATTTTTGTAGAGATGGGGTTTTTGCCATGTTGCCCAAGCTGGTCTCAAACTCCTGAATTCAGGCAATCCGCCTGCCTTGGCCTCCCGAAGTGCTGGGATTACAGTCCTGAGCCAGTGTGCCTGGTGAATTCTTTAATCTTTTGTGATGTTTGTGCACCGGAATATACTTGATATGGTTCATTAGTGGACAAATGCCGAAAACAGATGTTTTATACAAAGGTAATTGGAAAAAACTAGTTGGTGTAGAAATGAGTTATTGGATTAGACATTCCAAATCTAAAATTGAAAATTGCAGTTATGGAGTAAAGAAGATGGCCATCTCTTTAACAAAATATGAGCCATCAGACATTTCAGAAAAATTTTTTATGGATTGCATTTTGACCCTGCAAGTGCAAGAAGCACAAGAAGTACATAGAACCCGTTGGAGATATATTTCAAATCTGGAGTCAGCATTTGTGAGATGGACATGTTACAAGTTTTTGCATCAATGTTGAGCAGTTAGCTGTGTTTAGAGAACTTGGTTCATATACCTTTGAAATCAGGGGAATATGGAATAATATTTTGGGTTTTCTATAATTTTTTTTACTGTAATTCTTATTTATAAAAGTTTCTAGTAATTTTTTTCCTTATCCCTTAATTTAATGGAAATTATGTGTTAAATGAGTATAATTTATATTCTTTTAAATTTAAACTCTTAAATTTAAAATTTATTTATACTCTTAAATTAATTTTAAATTAAATTTAAAATTTATACTCTTTTAAATTTAAAAAATTTAAAAGATTCAATGGATGCAGATGGGAAATGGTGATAGCTGTCTTTCCTGGTAAGTTAAACATTACAAGAAAATTAGGAGTTTTCATACAACATTTAACCACCTCTATCCCCTGTAGGCTGCCATTCTAATCAGTTGGGAGAAATTGTAGGATAAGCTATCTTATTCTAGTTTTTAAGAAGAAATCAAGTGGCAGGACACAATGGTTCATGCCTATAATCTTAGCACTTTGGGAGGCTGAGGCGGGAGGATCACTTGAAGCTCAGGAATTCGAGACCAGCCCGGGTAGCATAGCGCGACCTCGTCTCTACAAAAAAAAAAAAAAAAAAAAAATTAGCCAGGCATGGTGGAGTACGCCTGTGGTCCCAGCTTCTTAGAAGACTGAGGTAGGAGGATCACTTGAGCTGGGGATGTTGAGGTACAGTGAACTGTGATTGCAGCACTTCACTCCTTCCTGGGTGACAGAGTGAGACTCTGTCTCACAAAAAATAAAAAGAAGAAATGGAACCTGAATTTAAATTTCCTCTAAAATTCTATGATAATAAAATTATTGTTATAATAACATTGTAAAGATAATGGGAGCATGACATTACAACATCAAAAATAAGGAATAGCTAGGTGCTGTGGCTCACACCTGTAATCCCAGCACTTTGGGAGGCTGAGGGGAGAGGACTACTTGAGCTCAAAAGTTTGAGACCATATATAAAGAACTCTTAAAACTCAACAGAAAGTCAAATAACCCAATATAAAAATTGGCAAAAAAACTTAAATAGAAACTTGACCAAAAATGACATACAGATGGCAAAACATATGAAAAGATGCTCAACATCGCTAACTGTCAGAGAAATGCAAATCAAAACCACAGTGAGCCATCACCTCACATTTAGTGAGCTACCTCCTCCGTTATGGTAAACCCAAATTTTTATTCCATATTGCCCTGAAAGATATATGGACCGTGTTCTCTAAACACAACCAACTGCTCAACTTTGATGTACAGACTTGTAGTGGTGCAATCACAGCTCAGTGTACCCTCAACATCCCCAGTTCAACATAGCGAGACTCCCATCTCTGCAACAAATGAGCCGGGCAGGGTGGCAGGGGCCTGTGGCCTCAGCTACTTAAGAGACTGAGGTGGGTGGATCACTTGAACCTGGGAGGTTGAGCCATGTTTATACCACTGCACTCCAGCCTTGGTGACAAAGTGAGACTCTGTGTCAGAAAAAAAAAAAAAATCCAGATATGGTGGCATACACATGTAGTCCCAGCTACTACTTGGGAAGCTGAGGTGGGAAGATCACCTGAGTCCGGGAAGTCCAGTCTGCATTGAGCCATGATCTTGCCACTGCACTTGCTGGGTAACAATAAAACTGTTTCATTTAAAAAAAAAAAAAAAAATCAAAGGAAGGAATAATTACAGTTGCTTTGTCTTTGGGGTGATTCTGTAAGGAAGTTTGTCTTTTTTTTCCCCCAGTGTTATGCCTGATTTAAAGACATTAAATGTCAGTAATTTTGTAGATAGATAAAATGCCACAATTTGACCTAGAAAAGTCCAACAATATTGAGCATTAAACTTGTACTAGGGGGAAGATTGTGTTTGGTGTGCCATGAAAGAGAAAGAAATGTTGTATCTACCAGTTACATTGCTATTTTGCCCAAAATTGAAACATGCACACAACAGTATGTTTTCTAAGTTATGAAAAGCGCAACTAATGTGAATAACAAAAGCTGTTTATGTTTTCTTTAGATTTTTCCCACTTCTTTATAACTGTAGAAATAGAATATTCTGATAGTAACATGAGTATTTCACTTAATCTAAAGTTGGTCATTAGTTTCATCCCCTTCACCAATAGAAAGACTTAAAATGCTTTAAACTTGAATCAGTCCTCCTGATTTTGTGCTGTTGTTATATATCTCAGATTTTTTTTTTAACCCTGTGACCAATTACTGTTGGACACGATTATCGTTTCATATGATCATTGATTATTTTAAGTTTACCTTCGTATTTACCACTGTTTTTGCTCAACATTCATTCATTCTGAGATCATTTTTATTCTTTCTAAAGTAACTCTGAGAATTTCCATTAGCATGGGTCTAAAAATAACAGGTTTTTCTCTTTTTTTTTTCTTTTTTTGAGACAAGGTCTCACTGTGTTGCCCAGTCTGGAGTGCAATGGTGCGATCTCAGCTCACTGAAGCTTCAGCCTCCTGGGCTCAAACGGTCCTCCCACCTCAGCCCCCTG